TCGACAATGTATTGAATAAAAACCGGCCAAGTGCGAGTCGGACTCGCACACGAACGGTTCCGTACCGACCTCACAGAAAACCGGGGTAAAATAGAAGTGTTATACTTTTACGTTTCGTCTGATGAGAGAGATTGACAAAACACTACTACTGTGAACATTATCTATAAAACCGGCAAAAAAATCATGTCTGTTTTATGGGAGCCCCCCCACTTATTTATAATTTTTTTGTTTTTTAGTATTTGTTGTTATAGCGGCAACAAATGACAACGAAATACATCGTTTGTGAAAATTTCAACTCTCTAACTCATGGTTCATGAGATACGGCCTGGTGACATATGGACAGACATGGGGACATACAGGCGGACAGCGGAGTCGTAGTAATAGGGTGCCGTTTTACCCTTTAGGTACGGAACCCTAATAAGTCCCAGTAATAATGTAATGGATTAAAACAGCTAGCTCTAACCATCAACCTAAAGGCATAAAATTGCATGCATGTCACAGTTTTGTTACACACAGTACCTTGCTGAGGAATAGTCAAATGTTAACCGTCTTCTCCTATTACGACTATTAAGAGATATTTTAGTGGATCATACAATCGGTGTAACTCAGAGACCCTTTTAAGTTGGCCGTGTCTACCGTGCAACAGTATATCTCTAGGGCCTTTTTAGGGTTCCATACCCAAAGCGGGACCCTATTACTAACTTACTGTCAACATTCTGTATCTCATGAACCGTGATAGTTACAGAGTTGAAATTTGATTTTTGAATTTAGGTAGGTATTTGTTAACTATTATTGTATTTGACTAACTTTTCCAGAAGCACAGCACATACATACCATTTGGTTCATCGACCCATTTTTTGGCAGAACACTTAGAGCAGATCCTATTCACGGCTCCGATTTGGACAAAAGACTGTTGAGATTAATGCATGAAAGCTGATCTGTTACTGTGAGTAAAAGTCGATTACGAACTCTAATCGTTGACATTTGTTGTATTTCCCTCTAATCTCGTAGGCGTTGGGAACGCTCAGAAATCAACTCCGTAGTGTGAATTTGTATATTTATATTAATATGCTCTTCAAGCCGCTGCAAACACTACTTGACTCTCTCCGACTTTTAAGACTATTTTCAGTTTCCGGTAAAGATTCCTCATTACGACATATTTTTGATGCCCTCGCCTGGAAACTATTTCTAGAAAGATGAGATATTTAAGATGATAAAAAAAAATTAAACTGCCTTTGTATTTAATAATATGCTAACTATCGAACAGGAATTACCAGTATAAATGTGACTGAAAAATTATAAGAACTACTAAGTCAGTCACTAAGCTGTTTGGATAGTTAAATTCCAATATAATAACATTTTTAAACTTGTGATATCTCTCGAATGGAATGTCCGAATTTAATAATTCTAAAAGTTATATAAAGATATTGAAACAGCCTTAAATATGAAGTAATTTATTTTTATAAGGATTAACACCAAGATACAAATAAAGAGCCTTCTCTAGCGGCGGCATTTCAATCAAAATTTTTAAATAAAAGAACACTTATTGTGGCATAACCATAATAGTTAGACATATGCTATCGCGACACTTTTTGTAAATAATGATGTGTTCTATAAATTCGTAGTACATTATTTTATTCTATCATTAATAGTTTTCGCAGCGCACGCGATGTAAAGAATATTTATGGTAATTTTTGTACACTTTCGGTTATATTATTGAAGTTTTAGTAAGGATCCCTATTTTTTTTTAAATATAATGTAGCCTATATCAAGCAGGGATAATGTAGCTTCCCAACAATGAAAGAGTTTTTCAAATCGGTTCAGTAGTTTCGGAGCGTATTCAATACATACAAACAATCAAATCTTTCCTCTTTCTAATATAGAAGATGAACGCTCCAAAGGTTATTTAATGCAAATTACTGAAGTCCGGTAAAGGGGAATAACTCGACGAAATAGATAAGGACCTCCGATAAAGCGATATTACGCCTCGATCCCGGGGATTACCTTCAAAGCACTACATTATTGATATGTAATTTATAATATCTGAATGTTATATGTATTGTAAGTAAGTAAAGTAACAGCCTATATACAGCGTGTCGTTACCATCGCGACAATAAATGAACACACGTCTATCGCTACTTGCCAATAATCATAAAAAAATATTAACGTTAAACAAAATCCATAATAAAAATATTTTTCAAACACACTAATTAAGTGAAAAAGAAACAAAATTTGTAACATCCTATACAACTCGCGCACAGCGTCGTATTACAAGCCTCTCCTTCTAACAGTATGTTTTGTCTCTTTTAAATTCATTCAACCCATTCATATGCTTTGTAACCTTTACAAATGAACTTTACGAACTTTTATAGGTATGTTCTAAAATTCTTTGTTTTGGAAAATTTAATAACTCTGTAAATATTGATGTTTAAAGAATTTAAATGTTTAATACAACTTTAAAAAGTTATCCCCTATATGTGTGTTCATTTATTGTCGCGATGGTAACGACATGCTGTATATCCTACGGCTGGGCAAAGGCCTCCTCTTTCTGACAGAGGGTATCGGGACATAGGCCATATTTTTTTTGTTATTTCCAAAATATACATGTTTCCTCACGATGTTTTCCTTCACCATTGAGCACGTGATAAAATTCAGCACTTAAATTCGATCGAAAAATCGATTCGAAAGATCGAACTCAGGTTGGTCGAGTATATTGAATTAAAGGCGAGCGGCCGGACACTGAGCTATCACGACTCACTTATATACGATATAAGTATACATGTTTATACATATATATATAGGCTGACCCGGCAAACCTTGCTTTGCCATATAAATTATTTCTAAGGAATTTGTAGGTTTGGAGTGGACCACCACTATCCCTTTTTGATTATCTAAAGTACCAAATCTTTAAATATATAATTCAGTACGTGTATATGTCACTGAACTCCTCCTAAACGGCATGACCGATTTAAATGAATTTTTTTGTGTGTCATCAGTTCGATTCGAGAATGGTTTAGATTTACAATTCGGTCTACTAATTGTTTTTATTTTTATTTATAAGTTATCTGATTTAAGTCGTGTGTACAGAACAACGTCTGTCGGGTCTGCTAGTATACATATAAAATTTCATAAAAATCGGTCAAGCCGTTTCGGAGGTGTATGGCAACTAACTAACAGTCGATATTAAGTCTGCCGCTTGACCAATTTAAATGTAAAATTAGAAATCAACTAATGATTAATGCATATTATACCATTTCGGAATATCTCGACGACGCCAATGTGTGGAGTTAATACTGTTGATACTCACGTAGGCTAGATTAAGACTATTATACCTGTATATTATATTGTACCTTGATATTTTTGAAAAAGAGCAACTGTTGAGTTTCTTGCCGGTCTCTTCTCAACAGAAACTGCTTTCCGAACCGGTCGTACCATACGAACCTATATACATAATCTTTTGATGTAAAATTTTACGATTTTGATTTTGATTAAAATTGTGACTAGAGAATTTTATATATATAGATATATATGTATGTTGTGAACTCTACCATGTTACAACCGAATCTACAATTAGTTAAAATTAAATTTAATGCATTCCTTGCAAAAAAAGGTTAAAAGTTTTATTTATTTTACATGTAAAAAAAATTGTAACATTCATTATTTTTGTCCATTGCTACGTGAAACCAAAATCAAAGAAACAGGCAATGAAACACGACGATCTAATGGGATTCACTAACAAAATTGCCTTTTGAGCCGAAATTCCTATGCCGTAGAAAGAATTTCTATGACTAATGAAATTTGTCGAAGCCCTTTTCAACATTTTACGGATTTGATCTGTAACGCAAAATACATCGATCTATTTACCTTTTGAAATACATATAATGTGAGGTAGTACCTTCAAATATATAGCTGTAATGGATAATATTTATAGACGCACATTCTGTTCCATATTTTGTTTATCATTAAGTATTAATTACAAGTACAATATCACATTGTTATGTAATATTACAATTAGAAGCTAAGAATATATCATAATATGCTTTAATACAAAATCATTTAATAAAAATCGAAAAATTAGCATCAGTTTCATTCTTTTATCACTCATTATTTTAGCATTTATGTTTGATAAATCAGATGCTGATGGTTTAGTGACTAGAGCTGGGTTACAGAATTTATTTTCACTTTAATTTGCAGATTCTTATATCTTTTGAGCCCGTACTGCGGCAATAAAGCTACCATTAAGTACATTTTCATACTAAATGAACTGAATGAAGCTCAGAAGCTTACTTAGAATTCTCTACAACCCCCGAGTAAACAGGCGGTAACTTGTAAAGAAAATATATTTATTTAACTATTTTTATGGTGGAACTATTAACTGCGCAGTCAATAAAATAAATTTTTGCTTGTGAGAATATCGAACCAAAATTCATGACAAAGTGGTATCATAATCAAACATAAACCGAAGCCCTAATCAGATAAGTAATTGTTTTACGTGAAAATTTGGTAAGCGACCATGCAGTTCACCTGTCGTTAAGTGGATACCGGTCCATTACTCAAGTGGGCTTAAAAAAGTGGGCCAAAGTGGAAAGAGCATTAAAGAAAATTATAAAGTATGGCTAGATATATCTTTCGAAAGTAAATACTAAGTGTCTTTGACACTTTTATATGGAAATATTACTACCCTAAAAAGAAAAATGTTACGTTATCGATCTTGAATGGCAGAGATTTATCCTATTTTATTCTTTGTTACATAATATTTTTCATTATTATATATCTTGTATATCTATATGACAACATAACAAACCTTTTCATTAAATCGACCAAGGGACTTCCAGTAACATTTACGCATGTTGCAGATCATCGGAGGTTATCGGGGATTTCCAATCCCAGTGCATATGTTGTATATAAAGTCAGTTTCGTTACATACTATCATTAGTCTCACCGACGACATTTCACTGTGAACAATTTCGCTTTAGCCATTTTCTTTGAAGAAATTCGAAATGTTTAAATCAACGATATTAGTTCTCGCAATTGCATGTGCCAACGGTCTGTACTTGTTTGAAGATGGCAGTGGACCGTACCGGGTGCGTCGTCAAGCACGTGGAAGCGTTAGTACTAACCCAGATGGGACATCCAATGTTGCTATGAAAGTCCCCCTGGCTGGAAACGATAAGAACATGCTGAGTGCCGTCGGAAGTATCGGTGCGGCTTCCGGAAAGGGGGATTTTAAGGCGGCAGGCGGCGGTTTGGCTTGGGATAACGTGTAAGTTTGCTTCTTTCCTCTTAACGTTAAAAATAAGCATTACTTCGTGAAATTAAATTATACGTTATACATGCGGAAGATTGTACGTAAGTTTTCGGTTTCCTTTCATTATCCTTTAGTCTTGAATCAGTCCTTTAATTAACAAATTATTTTATAATCCGTTCATTATATTTTGAACATTGAATGTCTAATACGCTGGATATGAGCATATCCACTTTCTAAACCATATACCTAACTTTTTCTCTTTAGTTTCGTCAACATACACATTTCGTCAACATTTATAAAATTGAATAGAGTTCTCATTATTTGAATTATTGTTGATTTTCCATTAAAATTTCGAATATATGTGAAGTCTGCCAATCCGCAGTGGGGTCGCGCGCACAGACGGAGGCTTTTGCCCAGCTGTGGGACATATATGGGCTGTTAATTTTCTTTTCTATTTATATTTTTAGCAATGGCCACGGTGCGACTTTGACCGGACAGCGTATTCCGGAGTTTGGCGATCAGCTAACTGCTGCTGCCAAAGCAAACTTATTCCACAACGACAAGCATGACGTCACCGCTAGCGCTTTCGCGACGAGGACTTTCCCCAACAACCCAGTCATTCCCAATTTTGATACCTACGGCGGCAAAGTCGGATACACTTACGAGTAAGTTAAATGAACAAATATATTTTAGTGAGTTTACGGTTATAAATACACATAAAGTGCGATAAAAATGAAAGAAAAGTTTCGCCGCTACGGGTATCGAACCCATGCCTTCCCACGCCCAAACAAATATATAAAGATTAGCACTATAGAAAAACTAATCGTTTTGCATTCAGCTGCAATTATATACAGCTGCATAATATATTAAAACAATTTCAACAGACGTTACTGTTAATGGATCTGGCTATAACGTTTGTTAATATATCGTTAACTTATGTAATAAAATTTATGATATACAATAACCTCTTAATTAAGAACGTTCGTACACAGAAGTTCCATACACTTATTACTTCTGTCAACTTTTCTATACTTCCCTTGGATCCTACTTATCATAACATAGATACAGCTGATTCTTGGATTGATATTATTCTTATTTCTTCTCCCAACTATGTTGCGGAACATGGACAACTGTCCGCTCCAGGTTTCTCTCGTCATGACCTACTGTTTGTGTCGTATAAACTTAAGCCACCTAGACCTAAAACAAAGCCAATTGTTCTGTACAAGCGCATTTTTTCCAAACTCAATAACGATGAGCTATGCCGTGACGCTGCCTTGATTGACTGGACTGCGACGCTAAAAACCATACTTCAATAGATGAAAAGCTTTCTGATCTAAATAGCTCTCTTCAGGCTTTGTATGACCTGCACGCACCATATAAACGTGTCATCATCAGGCGGCCCGCGGCTCCTTGGATTACTCCTGACGTCCGTGCAGCCATGGTTAAGCGTGATAGAGCCTTCCGAAATTTTAAGAAAAACCGGTGTGTGAGATTACTTGGTCAGCTTTTAAGGTTGCCAGAAATCGTTGTAACAGGATGGTAAGGGCTGCGAAACGACGACATATCCATGCTGGTGTTCTCCAGTCTTCATCGGCTAAAATATGGAAGTTTCTCAATTCTCTCGGCTTCGGAACTCAACCTTTGACGCAACCTCTCCAATTACCTATCAACGACCTTAATTCTTTCTTTACGTCTGTCCCTTCTCTCACGAATGTTGTCAAGAGTTCCACAACATTTCACTAATTAATTCCATGCCTGTTCCAGATATTGATCCTTTTGATTTGTCCCCTGTAACAACTATGGTAGTCCACAAAACTATACTTTCAATCAAATCGAATGCGACTGGGTACGACAACATCAGTCGAACGATGATTGTTCGTATTATGGATCAAATCCTTCCCATTTTAACCCACATTATTAACTTCTCTCTTACCTCTGGTGCTTTTCCTGATATTTGGCGTAAAGCTTTTGTAACACCAATTCCCAAAATTGCAACTCCCTCTTTACCTTCTCATTATAGACCCATTAGTATTCTTCCCTATCTACTCTTCTTCAGCCCAGCAATGGTTTTCTTCCTATCTACGCGGACGCCAGCAGGCCATCCGCTCTGATGGAAATATCTCCGATTGGGCAGACCTGACTGCTGGTGTCCCGCAAGGGGGCATCCTTTCTCCCTTACTTTTTAGTATTTTTATTGACCTCATCACTCTACGTCTGAAAAGCTCTTACCATCTTTATGCTGATGATTTGCAGCTATATGTTCAAGGAACTATTGACGAGCTCAACAAATCTATTGCAGCCATTAACGCTGACCTGGTCCAGATTCGGGACTGGTCAAACAGGATTGGCGTCGCTGTAAATCCATCTAAGTGTCAGGCAATCATTATTGGCAGTTCTCATCGGATAAATTCACTAGACCACAAACTTATTTCACCTGTTGTCTTTAATGGCACATGTATACCTTTCTCACCACAAGTTAAAAAGTTAGGGCTAATTATTGACAACAGCTTATCGTGGACATCTCATGTTACAAATATTTGCTGTAAGGTGAATAATACACTAAGATGTCTGTTCCGCTATAAGTATTTTCTCCCCTCGTGCACTAAACTGTTACTGGTACAGACGTTGGTGCTGCCGATAATTGATTATGCTGATGTTTGTTACTCGGATGCAAATAAGGATCTTCTTAATAAGCTTGACCAACTCCTAAATAATTGTATAAGGTTCATATATGGACTTCGAAAATTTGACCACATTTCCCATTTTCGAAGTCAGCTAAATTGGTTGCAGATTCGCGAGCGTAGAAACAGTCACATTCTTCGTACCCTATTTTCTATCCTCTTTGATCCCATCGTTCCCAACTATCTGAAACAAAAATTTTCCTTCCAATCTGATGCTCACTCTCGCAACCTTCGCTCTGATCACAATCTCTCCCTTCATATTTCTCTTTATCGTTCCCGCCTTATGTCCAACTCCTTTCAAGGTCAAGCTGTACGGCTCTGGAACTCGCTACCCATCTCAATCAGAAATTGTCTGACTAAAGAGAGTTTTAAACGTGCTGTCTTTAAATTTTATTTAGATAATCGACAATGTTGAACACTGACTTGCTTGAATCTCCACTTCTTGACATTATTCTAAAATATCTAATACTATATGGGTATGTATACATTTGTGTATGTATATTTGTATTATATATATATGTATATGTGTATATATATGTATGTATATATATATGTAGTAGCTATATATATATATATTAGTATATGTGTATATTTATGTAATATGTATGTAATATTTTATATATTATCATATTCTTTACTATCTCATCTGGCTCTTTCGCACCTCCTTATTCTCTCTGCTTATTTGTCGGTTGACTGGTAGAGAACACCTAATGGTGTTAAGTCCGCCATTGTACGTTATTGTGCATAAAGTTTTTAAATAAATAAATAAATAAATAATATACAATTGTGCATCTATCTTCTGCTTCTTCTTTGCAATTAAAAAAAGCTATTTAAGTGTCTTTGGGGTTCAATATAACTACAGTACGCCTTACAGGACTGTAATTCATTATTCATAATGTTTATTTATTAATAATACTCACGTTAAATACTCCTAAAAGGTATCGTGGTAGACTTTTATATTGCACAGAAATAATTAGGGGAAAATCTTTCAGCAAAAGACTTGGAGCATCCCTTAATATGGCGCACACTTTATATAGCAAAGAAATAATTAGAGAAATCTATTTCAGCAATAAACTTGGAGCATCTCTCGGTATGGCGCAAACTGATCTGTTCAAGAAGACTGACTATTCGGCAATGGGCAATTTAAATCTGTTCAGAAACCGTGACTCCTCGTTGGACCTTAACGCTGGATTCAGCAAGTCCGTGTCGCCATACATACCCAGCAGCAGATGGGAGCCCTCCGGTGGTATTTCGTTTAGTAGGTTCTTTTAGAATTGTAAAACATCGTAACGTTAAATAATAAAGTCTTGTAGTTAAAATCCATAAATAAATAAATTCATTACATTATGTTTTGTAATAATAAAAATGTGATTGTTCGAATGTACTTTTTGTTTTATTTGTCATAGCCGTGTTAGGGCCACGCAACCGCTTCGGCTGTTGCACGGGTGGGCAGTTCGATCCAGGTAAGTACCACGTCCTTACAGAAAACAGGCGTGAAGTGAAAGTGACATAGCTCTGCGTTTCGTCTGGTATGTGAGGTAGCCGGGGCCTATTTTATTCGTAAGGTTACATCGCATCTGCGGGCGTTGAAAATTTCCATGGACGGCGATTATCACTTAATATCAGGTGAACCGCCAGCTCGCTTGCCACGTGTTTTAAAAAACGGCAACAGATTTAAAAGTTTTTATGATCATTTTTTAAACTTATTGTTGTTCACAAACTATGGGACTTCATTGGCATTCTCTGTAATAAAATGGACAAAATAATAAAGATTTGTATCATTAGTTAGGTCCTTTTAGTCACTTGAAAGTTTATTCTATATTTTGGATGCTATGTAGAGAGTACCCTTATTCATAATCGTCTTTTGAATATAATATAGTAGGATGTGCTACATATTTTTGGCGTATAGCTTACAAATGTAAGTCCCAACTGCATTAGCACCCTAACAAACTAAGACTACAAGAATCAAAGTAAGCAAGTTAGCGAAGGAAATTCCCACGGTAATAAAGTTTCTTTATAACAAGATCTTTACATTTACTTATTGGACTTAATATAACCGAACTCACAATTCTCGAGTGAATATCCTTAACAGAAGAAAATCATTTTATAACGGAATGTTCTTTTGACATTTGTTATTTGTAAGAAACACTTGAAAGATATGCTTTTAGAAAACAAATAATTTCCTCCCGTTCTCTTTTTTTATGTGAGATGGTGGCAATCGAGCTGGCACGTTTCACCACCCATCGTCATTTGTAACACCCGTGGGCTTGTAGATATGTTGTCAACTTTTAACAAAGTCAGCCCCAGCTACCTCACTCACCAGACGAAACGAAGAAATGTAATACTTCCACTCCAAGCTTATTATGTGAAGTCGTGGTACTTAGCCGGATGGACCTGCCCATTTGTGCAACAGCGAAGACTGTTCAGTAGTCCTACCACTCTATATACCTACATCTGAATCGGATATTTCTCATCCCAACAATAAGATTCAGGACAATAAAATATTTAAAAACTGGCCAATTGCGAGTTGCGCTCGAGCTCAAAGGCTCCCTATCTATATCTATAGAAACGGAAAAAAAGATCATGTCTGTTGTATCGGAGCCTGATTTAAATATTTAATATTCAAATTTTTAGTATTTATTGTTATATCGGCAACAGAAACACATTATCTGTGAAAATTTCAACTGTCAAACTGTCGCGGTTCATGAGATACAGCCTGGTGACAGACAAACAGACAGAGAGCGGAGTCTTCGGAGTCTTCGACGAGTAATAAGATTCGTAATATCCTTTGAGTACGGAACCCTAAAAAGAGTTTTAAATCTATGAACAGTAGCTAACAATCTTCGGTTTGAAACCAATCCTCGAACATGGCAAATTTTGAAACTATCGCCATACCTTAACATGATTGTGAGAAGCAAACTCAATTCTTAAATAAGTCCAGCTACAATTGCACTATCAACTACGAAAACAAAGCAATGCAAGAAATAAACTAACATTTATTTAACACTCCTTTTTCCTTACCTTTAGTATTATATTTTTACTCGATGAAACAGATTAAAGAAAACGGAATGATTATTATTTCAACTGCATATCAAAGAGGATTCCACCATTTAAATTCCTTACTTTCAAATTCTTCGAGTTCGTCGTCCAATTTGTTTCCTCTTTCCTAGTCTTTTCCAGCGTCTTTATCTTTTTCTTTTTTACAAATATGACTACTACTAAATAAAATAATATATTATAGCAGTGTCAGTACATCTCAAAAGATGAAAAGTTACTATATACTCAGTACAGTATCTCAGAGCAAGAAAAGTTACTTCTAGGTGGAGAACTCAATCCTGTTCAGACTCGTGTTCCTTAATGTTTAATTAGTTAGGTTTATATGATAATTTAAAAGAAAAAACGCGATAAATCCGTAAAATTAGTTTCATTTTTAGTTAAGGTTTATATTATAAAAATACACAATAAATACTTAATTGGAAGGGCGCTTAAAAGATACCGGGGGTTTTGTGTAGTTTGTGTTTGTCTTACGAGAGTTTTTGGAGAATAAAATAAGGGCGGTCCAAAGATCGTTGATCGAGGCATTATATTTTACTAAGACCAAGTTCCAGGAACAGATGTTATAAAATAAAATTAAGTTAATTCAACGAAGGGCGGCTTGTACGATGTTGTAATGCTCACTGTAGAAGTCCACAGAGGGCTTTTCAATATATTATTCAAAGTATTTAAAGTAATGTGACTGTACGATAAAAACACGCGAATAAAGACAAGACACGAACTCTCCGAGGTATAACCATTTTTTTACTAACGAAAAACAAAACCAACTACAAATATCTCGCTCTGTATTCATTTTATAATTGATTTTAAGGACTTCCCTAAGTATCTCCGCAGCCCAAGATCCAATACCAAAGAAATTAATATGGGACCACATGGGAAGTACCAGCTTTCGAATAAACAAATCATAAAATTTGGTTCACTCAGTCAAAAGTTCTGAGGTAACATAAAAAAAATTCATAACGCAACAAACGCCTTCGGCGCCAGAGGGTGAGGGTTCGATCCCCACTACTGGAAAAATATTGTGTGATGAACATAGTGTTTTTCTAGTGTCTGCGTTATATGTATAATATGTATTTATTTACTAAAGAAAAGTATGTTCATCAGATATTTAGTACCCGTAGTAAAAGCATTGCTTAATTTGGGACTAGAGAACGTTGTGTAAAAATGTTTCGTAAAAATATTTATTTATTATTATTTAATTTTACAGCCGAATTGAGAACCTCCACCTTTTGAAGTCGATTAAAAATACAAACAGATAACAAATTCGAATGGAACTTCGGTATAACCATGCGAATGATCTGTGAAATTTTATTTCAAAACTTTACAATGTGTACTTTGCAACATTGTTATTGTTTAGAAGTTATTCGGTTTGCGTTATAAAGTTTTGCTCTTAGAACTTTCGCTTTAATAAAAGGCAAGACTTAGAAACTAGCTCTAATAGTTTTCAACTCGTAATGAATTGTGTTGTTTCCAATGTTTTATCTGCGCTTACGTCTAAAATACGAGTGCATATGTGTGTGTTAGCTGATAAAACAAAAAGTTGCTTAAAATTTATATAGTTTAAACATTAGTACATGACAATGGATGGCGTAATAGGTAGTTAACGTGTGTATATCACTGTACCCCTCCTAAACGACTGGATCGATTTTAATGATTTTTTTGTGTATCTTCAGATAGATTCGAGAAGGGTTTAGCTTTTTTAATCTTTTTATTTATAAGTTGTTGTCGGATTTAAGTCGTGTATCACAGTCTGTCGGTCCACTAGTAAGGTGTAAAACAACAGGGAAATGACAAAAATAGGTAAAAGAGTGAAACTTTAACTATAAAACCCACGACACCATAAAAGTATAGATATCGGTAAATTTTAGACAAAACATAAGTCCATCTTAAACTTATATTGGTGCAGTCACGACGATTTAACTTTATACATTACAGTTACAACACAATTTTCAAAGTTTTAGTGCCCGTCTAGAAGCCTCTATTTTAGCAGCAATGTAATTTCATCGTTTACTACTCCTTTTGTTCCTGAACTCCGTTAAAGTTTTGATAATTCGATCCAACTAGACGAAAGTTTGTATAAACTACGAGAGGTAATAAAGATCATGTATATGATGCACTACGTATATAGTGGCTTATCCTTAGGATAAACTGAAAATCTCAGGACTCAAGTAGAGACATTCATACCAGTTACTACGCAGATGTGTTTCTACATAATTTGATTGTTTTTGACTGTATCCAAAATCTTAGCAGGCATTTTTATGTGTACAATTTTCAAGCGAGAAGGTGGTTTACCGATGGTTTGATGTTAAGTACAATAAGTACAACCGTCCATAGACACCAACAACACCTGAACGCTTGCAAATTTATTTTATTTTAACGGTGGTAGGGCCACGCAGCAGCCTCGGCTGTTGCACGAATGGGCAGGCCCGTCCGGGTAAGTACCACGACCTCACAGAAGACCATACTTTCGCGTTTCGTTTGGTGAGTGAGGTAGCCGGAGCCCAATTTTCAAAAGATTGTCAACGCGTCTGTAACCCTCGAGTGTGGCAGATGTCCATGAGCGGCGTTATTCACTTACCAGGTGAACCGTCTGCTCGTTTGGCAACTTTTAACATAAAAAAATACGTTGACAACATTTAACAAAGGGCCTCGGTTACCCAACTCACTTTTTTATGGGGGAAAAAAAGCGTCTAACGAGCAAGAGGCTCACCTGATGGTTGGTGATCACCGCTCCCCATGGACATCAGCAACACCAGAGGGCTTACAAATGATGGTCTTCTTGAAGGATCCCAGGTCGTACCGGTTCGGAAAAACCGCCGGCGGCGGCTGATTCCACACAGTGGAACACGTAAAACTACACTTGTAATATTTCCACTTCGCGCCCACCTTCTGTGAGTAAGACAGTAGAGGTAATTTTATGTCATAAAAACTTATCTGTGACAGTGATACTTGTTTACATAGTGCGCCAGTCCCTCTTCACCGCTTACCAGTGGAGCTGATTAACTGAATTACGTTAGCTGCAGCCGCAGGTGCGAACAAAAATCCGATGCGAACTTGCATGGGCGTCTAGTCGTTGGCGCCTGCTGTCTCAGCGCCTCGTGACACGTGGCTCCGCCGTGTGCGTCTTTAAGAAGGTTACATACTTGGCGATTTTCGTGGAATGTAACTACGTAATTCGCGGCTCCGCCGTGTGCGTCTTTAAGTAGGTTACATAC